GCCACAATTAGCATTTTAATTTTAGCAATTATTTTCGAATTTTATCATTCCACAAATACTTTTGCTAGGGGAGTGTAACTTTTTTAAAAATCTTTACGTAAAAATGATGTGTTGCACAAGTTCTAGTTTTTGGTTCTTGGGTTGCTCCATAACATTTTACAGTTTTATTACAAATTGACTTCAACTAATAAGTAAGTTTTAGGTATTTTAAAATAAAATATAGTGAACGTTAATAATGAAAAATTTAATAAGTACACATATGGGCAAAATCTAAATAAGGAAATTTTTACTTATAAAAATTGCGGATAAGTTTCCTTTTTTAGATTTTTGCCACACATATTTCGCCATATGATTATACCTCGTTTAAAAATTTCGTGTGCCTTTTCTGGACATTCGAATTTTTTTCCAAAGTTGCCTTATAAATTTGAATAAAACCACACTCTACAATATATCCAATATCTAAAAAATTATTAAATGGAACCATTCTAAATATGATTGTATTTCAAGTTTTATTTTATAACATTCTTTAAGGTAAAATTTTAAACCTGACAACTGACATAATTTCCCAATTCATTGCTTTTCATTATGACTGATCAAGGTTGACATAATCATTGTTTTTATTGTAACTATTGTTAAAGGAAATCTTAGATTTCCTTTTTTATCATTTTATTAATATTATTCAAGAGAAAAGAATTGCGTAAAAATCTCCACATTAAAAATTTCTTTTTCATAAATTAAAAAATTATATATGTATATATAATTTGTAACCTTCAAAAATTATTAAAAAATTTTCATTCCGTTTTTTTTTATCCCATTTTTTTAGAAGCATACTACCTTCCACTCAACCATATTGTAAACCATAATATAAATAATCCGTGCAACGTGATCAAAATCTAGAAATTGAAGTTTTACTTGATTATAATCACTTTTATTACGTTAATTTTTGAACCTACACCTGTCACAATTGTGGCAAAGTAACATATATTGATATTAGAAAATTGTCAACAATGTTATACGAGTGGCAATAAAAACATTGGTAATTTCATTGAACACACCAGTTATCGGGTTTAAAATTATACCTCAAAGAATATTATAAAATAAAATCTAAATCACAACCATATCTTATTTAGAATGGGTTCCATATAATTTTTTCAGATATTGAATATATTGCAGAAGGTGGATTTAGTAAAATTTTTAAGGCAACTTGAAATTTAAATGGCACATTGTTTTAAAAGCTTTAAATAACTCTAAGAATGCGATACAAATTTTTTTAAAAGAGGTAATTAATCACCTTGTACTTGTTAACATTTATTAAATTTTCATTTTATTAAAATTTACTATATTTTAATTTTTTTTTTTTTTTAAATATAGCTAAAACTTACCTATGAGTTGAAGTCAAAATTTGTAATAAAATGTTATGGAGCAAACCAAGATCCAAAAACCAAGAATTATGCGTTTATTTTAGATTATGAACCAAATGGAAATTTACATCATTTTTTACGTAAAAACTTTAAAAAAGTTACGTGGGAAAAAAAAATTGATTTATTTCGTGATATTATTATTGGAATTAAATTACTTTATTATAATAAAATTATACACTGTGATTCATTATCACGAATGATGTTTTTGAAGCGGTTATTTCTGATTTAGGATTTAGTCAACGAGTACCCTTTAATTCAAAAATTCGAAGAAACCTCAAATGTATGGAGTAATTCCATATACGGCGCCAGAACTTTTTAAAGGTGAACCATATACATTTGCATCAGACATCTATAGTTTATTTAATGAAAAAATGTTGGCATTCTAATCCTTCTCAACGACCAACAATAGATGAAATTTATCAATTATTTTTAGATTTTAAATATTATTGTGATTATTTAAAAGATAATATCAAAAAAAAAATATCCAGATAAATATGTTATTTGGTTAGAATTTAAAATGACGGAAAAAAAGACTTGAAATGATCAAATCTAAGAAGCGTTTTGTAAATAATCCATCGTATGAGCATCTAAATCCTAGATATTGTAGTATATCATTAGACTCTATGTTAGAATCTATTAATTCGGGTATTAATAATAATAATTCTTTAAAAAATTCATGTTAATACATAATTTCTATAGGCCAATTCTCAAATGATAATTTTGACATTATGAATAGCAAGTATAATTATTTATTAATTTAAATTAACTAATTATTATGTATTTAAATAGTTATGATATAAATATTTTCGAAAATAATGAACCTGAATCAAGTCCAAAAAGTTCTAAAAAGTCATTTCTTAGGCAAATCCTCACAAGGAAAATCAGAATAATATTTTTTTTTTTAATATTTTTAATATTTTTAATATTTATTTAATGAATTTATTTTTTATATAAATAGGTCCTGGATATTTAACAGATATCACGTTTTATTATTGAATTATTATCATTTCTTTGGAATGACTTAACTTATTTACTTTTTATATTACTTAAGACATCTAAATTTAACTTTTATTTTATAACTACTTTGTATTTCATTTATTATATTTATGTATTTATTTTATTTTGGATTAAAGATATTATTTTAAAAGTAATGTACCTTGAAAATCCGTAACATATTCATATTTATTTATGATAGTTATAAATACTTTTTTGTGTGGTATACGACAAAATTTTTTAAATTATTATTTAAATTATGTCAATAAAAAAATTGATTATCTTATCAAAAAAAAACACAGTTATCAGATTCAAATTAAACATTTTTAAATGGGTGTTGAATATATTGCAAAAGGTAGTTTTAGTCAAATTTATAAGGCAATTTTGAGAAAAACATTAATTTTGGTATTTATGATAGAGAAAATTAACAGTCAAAAAACAATTTGTTATGAAAGTTTTAAATAACTCCCAGAATGTTGGATACAAAATTTTTAAATGAGATAATAATTAATTAATTTCTTTTATTAGTATTCATAAATTTTGTATTTTTTTTAAAAAAATATAGCTATCAGTTTAATCGAACATTGTAATGGAGTAACTCAAGTTCAAAAAACTAAAAATTATGCATTTATTTTCAGCACATATAGGTGTAGTCATTGCCTTGAGACAGGCTTTGGATCAAGTACATAAAGTAATATGTAATGTCATTTTTATGAAAATCACTATTTCACGAAAATCTTGATTATCTTATGAATGCAAAAAAAAAATAAAAATATAGTCGTAAGAAAAAAAAAATTCTCCTTCTATCTTTACTCAATCTCAATCTTATATCTTTATCTCCTACTTCTAAAAATAATATTATCTCACATAATGCTTGACCAATGTGAGAGTACTATATATGCATCACCAAATATTTCTGGAATATTCTTCTTCCGTTTATGACTGAAAATTTCGTGTAACAATTTTATTGATCGCCTAATTGAATTAGCAATAAAATTCAAATCCAGAAGGAATGAAAACATATTTCATTATTTCTCCTTTTTTATGGGGATGGTTTATGATAATCAAATAAATTAATTATGATAAAGATAATAATAAAAGTAAATAATAAAACACATTCAATATCGGTGAAGTCAAAACTTTTGTCAATGATTTTACATTTAATGTCGAGTCTATATGTTTAATTATAATTCGATATCACAGCAATTTTCCAAATTATGGCTTTGGATATAATCATTCATTAAAAAAAAATTTAAAAAAATATTAGAACCATTAAACAATATTAAAAAAAATAGGCATATATTTTTGAGAAAACATTCATGTAATGTATAAGGCAAAATTTGTAAAGACTCGGGGTACTATGACCCGCAAAATACGGTATATATTGTTAAAAATACATAAATTAATTAATAAATGATAAAAATAATAATCTAGATAAGTGGTATTAAAAGTTATATAATATCACCAAAAGAGATGATATAAAACCGATAACAAAATGTGTAATAAGATATGAAAAAGTAACAAGTAAAAAAATGTAAAAATTGGGTTTTTAGAATTTTCTTCATCTTTTTCAAGAACTGAATTTTCAATATCAGAACTATTAATAAAAATTGTAAATTAATTGAAATTAAAATTAATAAATAATTATATAAAAATATTATATAACATTATATCTGATATGATTTCTTACTTGTTATCCATAATATCAAAACTATCATTTGAGAATTGATCTATAGAAACAATGCATTAATATTATTAATATAATATAATATAATAACTTTATTTATTATTATATTCTATTAAATACCTGACAATTCAAGATCGGAATTTTGATCTATAGAAATAATGTATAAACGTAATGAATTTTAATTTAAAAAAATTATTGCAAATATTATATTGTTAAATACCTAATATTGATGAATTAATAATAGATATAGATTCTAACATAGAGTCTAATAATCTACTAAAATATCTGGACTCTGGATGTTCGTATCCTGGATTAATAACAAATGGTTTTTTGGATTTGATCATTTCAAGTCTTTTTTTTTCTGCCTTTTGAAATTCTAACCAAATAACATATTTGTCTAGATAATGTTTTTTGGTATCATCTTTTGAATGATCACAATAATATTTAAAATCTAAAAATAATTGATAAATTTCATCTATTGTTGGTCGTTGGGAAGGATTAGAATTCCAACATCTTTTCATTAAATTCGCCCAATATTTTGGTGTATCTGCCGTAATTTCTGGTCTTTTTCCATCTAAAATATCTAATATAAGAATTGGTCCATGTTCTCGATCATGAAAAGGTCTATGTCCTGATGTCAATTGCCACATGATCATTCCTAAACTATAAATATC